GTGTCTTTCTTTCACTAAGTACTGCTCTAGAACCAGAGATGCCAGAGGGAGTTGGTTGGCACCGCTGCCTTAGGATAAAGGGAAACAGGACAACGGGGTGAGCCCCAGGCGCCTGCTCCAGCCACAGGGGAACTGAAACGCTCAATGCTGGGCCTGGGGAGAAAGGAAAGCCTCCCCCACCTCTGCTTCCAGGCCCAACTTGAGGAGGCAAGGGCCTGAGTCTGTCCTGTGCCGGCCCCTCCCTCGGGCCCCTGTCTGTGTCCACCCCACCCCACGCCCTGCTGCCTGCCTGGCAGTTGTTGGCAGAGGGACTGGGCCCAAACCAGACTGTCCCCCTGTCCCCGCCCTGAGCCCCTGCTGCTCCTGGCCACTGCTTCTGGCCACAGCGGTGTGGCCCCGGGGCTACCTGCACGTGTTAGCCACGGGCTCTCCCGCCCGGCGTGCGCACTCACCGTAGGTGAAGAAGCTCGGCAGGTAGAGGACCTTCCTCCCCAGGACGTTGGTCCCGATGGTGGGGGGCATAGGTTCATGGCCCACCTGCCGAAGGAACAGCAAGAAAGGAAAAGGTCAGATTCCAAGGCTGCTCCCACCCTCTGCCCCAGGCCGAGAGCTCTTCTCCCCACAAAGCTCACGCCCAGGCCAGGCCTCTCCCCAGGCTCTCCCAATCCACATCCAATCCCAAATCTGGCAGCTTCCAGAGAAAGACCAAGTCCTAGCCAACACCCCTACCTGGACCCCAGACCCCTCTGCTGGCCTGTTCTTCCCTTCACGCCCCCGTGGACCAGAATCCCTCATGTGGATGGACCGCAAATTCCTCTCTGATCTCGGAATAACCCACTTGGTGTAGGCTCACCTTCAGGTTAGACCCTGTCCTCCAGGACACCCCCGGTGTGGCAACACCAGTGCACGGCTGGACCCCAAACACAGCCAGCCCAGCTCTCAGGGGTCCTTTCCAGAGTTCACCCCAAACTCAACTTCCACCACACTACCACAGGCAGCCCCGCTCATTGACAAGCACTATCACCCCAAAGCCCAGGTGCTCTTCCCATGCGTCCTTCACTGTGTGCCAGTCTCAGTCATCCCCCAGGCAGTCCTCCCGCCCGCTTCTGCAGGGCCATTCAAACAGCTCTGTCTTGGAGAGGTGTTCGCCAGAGTGCCCCGTAGAAATGAGGCTTGGCGAGACTTGGTCTCCTGTACATCAGGAGAGACGGGCATCATGCTTATTAACATAGAGGGTCGGGGGCAAACAGGAAGACCCCCTATGAGCTGGGTTGGCCCAGTGGCTGTGACTCTGGCACAAGCACAGCAGAGATCCAGAGATGCCAGGCTGGGGCAGGGCCCGGTAGGGTTCTGTTCTGTGGTACTGGGGGCGCCATGAATCAGAAGGGGTGCTAAGGCACCTTAATCTTCCTGCTGATCAGTAAGGTATCGGTTAAAATTGTGGACAGATAATGACATCATCCACAGCCCCGGGAGGAGAGAGGTGGGTCTCTCCTGAGGGCCGAGACCTTTGTCAGCCTGCCAATGAACAGGGAGAGAGGCAGAAATCCCCTCCCTTGGCAGGGGCCCCAGGATACCAGGCCTTTGTGCTTAAAGCAGGCTGGCCAGGCCCTTCTGGTCCGTGAAAGAGGTCAAGGCCCTGCAGACAGGGGCGGGCCTGAAACAACAGGGTGATTGTATAAACCTCTTCCGGCCTCAGTTTCCTTCCTTTCCCTCCTCCATCAGCCAGGGTTTCTGAGAGTTCAGGCTGCCCCGCAGGAGATGGAGTTTGGAACGAGCTGCACGCCAGAGGAGCTGAAAACCCACGCCAAACCAGCTGCCCGGGGGTCTGTGCGACCCAGTGTGTCCCAGGCAGTAACTGCACTAAGGGGGGGGGATAGGCGCCCAACAGCTCAGCTCCAGCCCTTTTCCTGCCCAGAGCCTAGGCTGGATGAGAACAGCCCACCTTCTGGTTCTCGGACAAAGAGACCCTTTGGTTTCCTTTTGGTTTACAGATCGTAAAGCAAGAAAGCCACCTTTATGGAGGTCACCCCTTCCTCCCCCCAGGTTACTTTGGGGGTGGGGCCGAGGCACGCTGCCATGATCCTGGCAGAGTTCTCTCCTCACCCTCTCGGCCTCCCCATCTTGAGTTGCACTCTCTGATTCCTCTTCCTCGCCACCCCCACGGGCAACCCCAGAAAAAACCATGTTAATCATGTGCATATTTCTTTAAAACACACACACACACACACTCTCTCTCTCTCTCTCCTTTACGATAGGGATCCTTTTTTTAAAATAAAAAAATCTAGCCTGGAGAGCCAGGGGTGGGGGTTTAAGCCATCCCTCTCCTCCTACATCTTGTTCCTTTCAAGGTACAGCCCTGAAGGCTGAGTTCACTGCCATCAAGACGATTCCAACTCACAGGCCCCGTGTAGCACTTCTGAAGACATAAATCTTTACGGGTTGGGGGCAGACAGCCCCACCGTTCCCCCGTGGAGTGGCTAGTGGGTTTGAACCACTGCCCTTTGGGTTAGCAGCCTAACACTTGCCCAACAGCCTCACCCGGACTCCTTTAAATAGGGGCACTCCTTCATCTGCTGCCATCGGGCCGACTCCTCGGGAGCCTCCAGGACAGGCTAGAACTGCCCCGTGTTTCCCACGGCTGCAACTCTTCAGGAGAGTAGAGAGCCTTGTCTTTCTCCCTGGAAACAGTCCCACACATAACCCACGACACCCCCAGGGTGACATGTAGCCTCCCCTTTATACCCTGGACTCCCAAGCTGGGGTGTGCTTATTTGCTCTCTTACCCAGTCTCTGATTAGGGAGCCCACTGATGCCAATCTCACCCTCGAATCTTCCCAGCCCCCATATCGCTAAGGCTCTCAATTCCCTTTCCTTACGCTTCTAGCCTGGGTTTCTCCAAAGGCAGCCTGGCCACCTCACATGCCCATTCTTTGCACCTCCCAGTTTTAAGGATTTGTCTCCAAACTATGTCCATCCCATTTCATCCCCAAATCTGTTCACCAAGCCCTAACTACAGCCAAGTAACTCAGATACTCAGCTGCTAACTGAAAGTTTGCTGGTTCGAGTCCACCCTGAGGTGCTTGAAAGGAAGTTCCAGTGATCTACTGCCCCACTCCCCTGCCCCACCAAAAAAAAACAACAAAAAAAACCAGAATCCAGTCCAGGACAACTGTTTTAACTACAGCAAAATCTGTCACTCTATGCAGATACTTGCAGTTCCACTTCATCACCTTCAAATTTCCAAGTCCCCAAACCTAATACCCACGTGCCTTCATCCGAGGCAATTCGTTCTTATCCCTCTGATCTAGACTGCCTCTAAATCTGCTGCTCCTCCTCTCCCACCATCTCCAGCCTTTTGGACAAAATGTCACTTTGATTCTCAAACTACTTCCACTAAGACTTCATCATACAATCTGTGGCACTCGGCAGGGGTCCAATCAGATAGGCCATGCTCTGTCACCCCAGCGAGGCTCACCCATCCTTAAACAACCACCAGCCTGTTCTCACCTTTCAGCCTGCCTCATTCCTCAGTTCCCCTTCCCAAACCACCCAGATATCAACTCTCTTCTCACACCTGTAAACCAGATAGATCCAGCATGGCCCAGACAACGAAACTATGGGAGACAGAAGGATTTCTCCCAAGTTGTCTCCCCCAAATATATGCCAGACTTAGCTGCTTGAGAATGACTGTACACTTAGAGGTCATCAG